TCTAAATACTTGTTTTGATTTGAAGAAATATAATGATTGATCTTGAAATAATAACTAGAATTAATAATTCAGATGAATCCATTTGGTTGTGTTTCGTTTTTTTGAGTTGACTTATTTAATTATAGAATAGTAATTAGTCTAGTAATTCATTCAACACTTAAATATTCCAAAAATTTATCACCGTTTCCAGAAAGCAATCTTATTAAAGTCCTTCATGACAGCTTATAGCGTAATTATAACCAATTTATATTATTGTTTTATTATTTAAAGTTTAATACAAAGTTTGATCGATTTTTGCTTTTGTTGGGGTGATCTTGAAATGAGTCTGTGTATATGATGAAAATAACCCTGTTACTAAATAGTTTAAATACTTATTTCTCTACCGCTGAAAATGACTCTATATCATTCATTCTAGGTAATCTAATGGTAGTCAGACAATCAGTTAGCTGTCATCATCAACATAGAGCCTGGCAAATATATGAGTTGAATCAGGTTTTTCCTTACTACCTTATACCGAAACTCAACATTACCAACTCACTCATTCTATAATGTATGAGAAATACTTTGAAGCTACCGTTACTTCATCATTAAATTGCTTTACGTAATAATTACTCTCCAAAATGTTCAAAAGGTCTTGTTTTATATGTTTATTTTTTAAGAAGTGGTTTGGATAATATCTTTTAAAAAACTTGTAATAATCAGAAACGATGCTTATGTTTCACAGGACATGAAATACTTTTTAATTAATATTTAGTCATGAGTTAAACACACCTATCCATCATCTGCCTCTTTGATTTATCTGCTTATCGTATTTTTGTATTCAAGATTACATTCATTCAATGAAATTACAAACGAAATTATACAACAATAAAGCGGTGTTATCGATTATATATGTGGATATCATTTACTTGTTTATTGATTTTGTCGTTAATTTTTTTTATCATACTGATCAGTAGTAGGTTTTTTATTGCTTCTATGTTTTGAAAGCACAAGTTGAGGAGGTGAGGGAAGAAAGGAAAGAGAAGTTCATTTGATGATATATAAAGTTCTTTTTTAATTTCTGTTTGTGTCATAAAACCAGAATATTTCTTTGTCTCTATTACTACTGGAAGGTTCAGTTCACACACATATACACCTACTAAATAGTACTTTTGTTTATATTACTAAAATAATATGAACAAATCAATAGACAAAATCCATTCAACAAATATCGTTTTGTCCAAAGTCTTAGTCATTAAATATTCACATTACATTTAACTTTACGGATATCTATGACTCATTGATGTTTTATTTGAGCGAATAAATTTGTATTTGAACAAACTCAAATTTTATTTTACTCTCTGACTGCTATCGATGCTCAAATGTCATACAGCCATAACTCGGGAATTTATCATTTAAATAGATTTATGGATTAACATGTTTACTCAAATTATTATTGTTATTAGTATATATTGTAGTGAATTGTTGTCAGCTTTTAAATGGTAATTCGTACTACATCTATGTTCTATTTGTAAATTAATTACAGTGTAATAGGAATCCTGGGTAATTCATGTGGAAATGCTTTTTGTTGAGTTTCCAGCATACATTATCAGAGTTATTAAACATCTACTATCCCATACAAAATCGATCAAACACTGCTGAGAAGTTTCAAGCTATGACGATGAAAGTTTTCCGTCCCGCTTGGCTTTCATCGGTTTTGCAGTTATCTGTCCGTGATAAGAAGAACTATTTTCAAGGTTATCACTTTAAACCGATTCGAAACACTTGTCACCTAAATATTCTTTTTTAGCTTATTTTTGTTCCTGAAGAGAAGCCTTAAACTTTCGCGAAAATCTCAGTGGCGTAGATATAAATAAATTCCAACTTCCTTTGTACAATGACTGTACGAACCTTCATATGACCTTTTGGTGTATGACTCATTAGTACTTAACATGTGTGTTTGAAATGCGTCCCTTTTCAGGGTTATCAAGATTAATACTAAAACCATATGAATTCATGTCTGCCTGTTTATGTCTACACCTTAATATCCGATAAGCAGTTTTCTGTGTGGCCTTGACCATCAATTCTCTTGTTTTATTTTATGTAACCACCACAACAAACTTTCGTATTGCTTGTTAGGTGTATAGTGTTCTAGCTTCTGTTTCCGTTTTCTACTTAAATAATTTGTTGTATTTATTGGGTTTCCCATATTCTTTTATACAAACACCAAGTAACATTTGTTTTACCATTGAGTCATCATTGCACAGGTTTCTTTCACATATTTCATCATTGAAATAAATTGACCTGATACAAGGGCGTACAACATATTTATATGCATAATTATTATGCCTACAAAACGCTGTGTTTATCTTGAAAGTGTGTGTTTAGTTCTGTTGTTAGTCAGTAACTATTATGATTTGCTCATTAGTTATTCTAAAATGTTACACATGACATTGTAAATATTGATATTATCAGCAGTAGTATATAAATTCGAGTTTAACTTTGTGTAATTGTTGTATTGTAGTGAACAAAACACTGGTGGGGACAACCAAATGTATTCGACACGAAATTACAGAGCATGTCAACAAAATCTGAGAACTATATATTAAATCGTTAATTTGCAAAATGTCCACCAATTGTCACAAAATGCCTCAGACTTCATTGTTATTGCATTTTCATACAAATTGCATTCTATTGCCGCTCTTGCTTTCTTGATCTTCCCTCATCTTCTGCTGCCAGACATTACATTCCTGACTCGCATAATATACTACTTATATCAATATAAGTAGCACGCACCACAGTATTACTGTTTAGTAAATGACTGAAATGGATTGATGTAAGCTAATCGAAAACCAGGGTGATCACTAGTTCAATTCTCCTACTAGTTCAAATCCATTTACTAACCCCCGTGTTGTCATTGGGGTTTTGTTACAACCTCTGTGACCCTGATCACCTTTTAAAGTTTTTTTTTCTTAAAAGTCTAACGTAAATGTTTGATCACGATCACACGTTCATACACTCAATTTGAGTCACAGTCAATCAAATGTTTAGTGATCTTACTTGTTTGTTCATAACAAGGTTGCATAGATTTAAAACTTGTAAATCAGTGTTTGAAAGTTTACTGCTTTAAGTATTAGACCACGACTAGCTTTATGTTTACATCATTTATTTAATAGTTAGTGAAAACCTTGTCAATATCCTTCACAATAATGAATTTAATAGAATACTGTATAAATCTACTTACTGCTTTGTAAAATTGTTTATTTTAATAATCAATAAAACTTAATTTAAACTGATCGTTTATTGTTAAGTGAAAAATTCATATTTAAACAAAAATTCTTGAATTATTTTTTTATTAAATAAAATAATTTTTTTTCATTTTGATTGATCGATCTTCAAAAGATAAATTTTTGGTTTGAAGTTTTATTCTTTTTGATAGAAAAATTAAAATTAGTTTAGCATGTTGTGATACACAATTATTTGTCTTCATCTGCTGGAAAAGTCATGCTAACTACTTTCACACGCTGAAAGTATGTTTTTTGTTCCAGAAGTGAAAAGATGAAAATATAGCGTCCTGGCCTGAAACTGAGTTAGTGAATATGGAGGGTTCACTTTGAGGAGTTGTGAAATCTTCATTCCAAACGACTGGTGCACATGAACTCCAGGATTCCGAATAAACAAACGGCATATGAGCTAATTTTTACCACTGGCTGCGATAGGATTACAGGCCTTAACGTTATTCCACTCCCTTTTGGATCAGATCTTTAGGCTAAAGGTTCGACGACTAACCTCCTGAGGAAACAAACTGCTTAAGTTTGTGCACCTGGGCAGTATTGCAGCCCACAAATAAATCTGATTTTGTTCGGCTCATATGTTTGATGTCTAGTTGTATCAAATTCTATACAAGCTAAATTAATATAATTTAATTCAAAAACTTATCTAAACGACCAATGAAAACCAGGAAGCACTGTGTAGCTGTTTCGCCTGATGTGAAACCGGTTATCATCTCAGACAATGTGAGGTGGTCGCGCAACATCACAAATTGATTGAAGTTAAGCATGTACACCATGAGATGCCAGTTAAGCGTTTATCGTGTGATAAAAAGTCTTGAGTTCAACCTCTACTGTGACTATGTGCGTGCACTTTTGAGGAATCCCACACTTGGACGAAACAGCGGTCCAGTACTTTCTGGTTACTAGTGGTTCTTTAGTTAAAACCAGTCTATAATGTAAATTATGAGAATTCTTCAATCTTCAAAAACTCCAGCATATTAAAAATAAATATCTCACAGTAATAATAATACTTTAAATCACTTACTTTTATGATTAATCTTATATTGCTTATAATTGTTAAGGATAATTATAGTTATGTGATGGTGGTCTATATCGTTCACTATTAAACTGATAAAATATACCTTCTATTTTTAAACGTTATCTGTTTTAATATCCACAACCCAATTAAAGTTTATCCAATGACAATATTTTATAGCATTTTGCTCCACTTATATCCTCTTTAAGACTATTACTTGCCAAGTACACCGTCTATAGATAGGGCTAAACTAGGTAGAGTGGGTTTCTAACCCTTGATCTATTGATTGAAATTCGAGTACGGTAATGAATTGAGCCACTTCATTTCCAGGTCCTGTTAAACCAAAACTTTTACTCATTGAAATCTGTCGACTTGATGCTATATCTGTATATAAGATTAGGCAACCGGAGTAAGAGAACAGAATGACAATCATTCAAACCCATGAATAATGAATAGTTTGCAAAGATTCACGTTCGACTTGGTTTTTTGATTGTATTCTTTGCTGTGTTATTTTAATTGTTTGACAGAGAATACTTTCGGTTTGGTTATTGATCCTTCTAAATAAGAGGAAATGTTTTAGTTGACCAATTTTCTGACTGCATACACAAATTTAAAATATGGTTACTGATGTTGGAATAATCATTTCTTTTCTGACCATTGAAATTACTTACACTTTTGTTTATTTATTTATTTTTTTTGCAAAATCTGTTTAGAACTCTGGTGACATGATGGCACAGAATAGTCCACGTCGTAGTCCTCGCACTGTTAACACCAACTATTCGGTAAATGCGAACACTGTTGAATCAACTTATAACCCAATAGGCGGCAGTTTACAAGCCTCTGTATCTGTTCATTGTTCTTCTAATCTATTGAAACCAATGTCGACGTCGATACCATCTACCACGACTACCACTGCTGCTATTTTCTCAGGAAATGTAGATTCAACATTTAAAAATAAATCATTTATCCCTTCACGAATAAATAATAGTAGTAGTGTTAGTAATCATCAATCTGTAACAATAAGTCAGAAACATGGTAGTATTTCTTCTCATCCACCTCCCCCACCCCTCCCACAACAACAAGAAAAAACAGCTGATTTACTGATTGATGATCCAGCGAATGAAATGACCATTAGTGAACTACGTTCAATAGCTGAGCGTCAGCGTCAACAACTGGCTAGACAAGCTCAACAATTACAAGCTAGAGAAGAACGTCGTGCATGGCTTCGTTCGTTAAATTCACAACGTTCAGCACAAAATCGATGTGTTGAAAATGAAAAGGTAAATGGATAAACAAAATTCAGTGATGCACTACTTTCGCTCCTTTTCTGTTTATCATTGTGATAACCTTGAAACCAATAATAGTTGTGGTATTTTTCTAGTTCTCTGTATACGTTTCAGGAGCTTTTTTAGTTAAATAATGAGCACTGGAGATAAGTACTTTAAGTATATGGTACTTATTGATTCTTATCTGATGTTTATACCTGTCGTGATAGTAGTTAATCAAATTCAACAATTTTACCTAGTCTTTTAATTAATGTGTGAATCTCGGATATTATATTTAACCATTTTTATTTCAGTTACTTAAGTAATACCATGCGGTACACTTAAGCTCCTGATGGATCTCTTGAGTTCTGTTTTACTGTTCATCATAATATGCAGCTACTATGCTCACTCTCAAAGCTTGATTAGTCCAACTATTAAATGGGAGAAGACAGTGACTACGTTTGAAGCGTTCTAAAAAAAATAAAAATTATACTTACTACTTATATCAAACTGATCCAAGTAATAGTTCATATAGAGCGAACTTGACTAAGTGAATAATCTGTTAATACCAGCTCACTCACAATCTCTTCTGGTCTTAAGATATCATATGGCCTTTCTGGTGTCGCTCGACAGATCAGTTGACTGCACAGAGCAATATTCTTTTCATGTAGCCTACTTGTTCAATTAACTGTTGTTTTTCCTAACAATCCAATAACGTATTTAACACCAATATTTGCATGACTTTGTTAATGGTTATTGAAATTTTTTCAATTATTAATTCGAAATATAAAATGTTTGATTACTTATGCCTCTTTAGATTTTCTTGTCCCAATCAAAATATCTAGCTGAATCAGATGATCTAAGAAAATGATTAACAATACATAAGTTATTATAGAGAATGTCGATTACGAAATTATTCGTGTACAAGAGTGAGGATAAAAAGTTTTCGGAACATCCTTAGTTTACTGGAAAGTTAGTACCAGTGGTTTTCGGATTGACTGCAACATGACAAACTGTTATGTAATTTCCTGTTTTTTCTACGGTCGTTCAAAGTAGTTTTTAACTTCCTTTTTTGGCTATCCCATAGGTCACTTCTAAACCATCTGATCTTAGTCAAGAACAAGAAATCCGATTGCACAAATTACGTGGTTTTCGTGGCCAAACAGAACAAGTTCGTCTGAGCAATGAAAATCTAGGTGAGAGTGTTAAAAATTGCCATATTTAAACTTTTGGTCGCTTCGTCAATTAGTGGCTTGATACTAATGTAGTCAGTCAGTCAGTAACAACGTAGAACTTCGTACGTACGTACATCAGTTCGACTTGCTACACCACATTGGCACAGAGATGCAGTTGTCGAATCAAATCCCGTAGTGGTAGTGGTAATAAGAGTATAAGCAGTAATCGGGAAGATTAGGATTTGGAGATGTTATTTAAAGAGTATAATCCAGTGAAATAAATTTGAGAGGAGAAAAAAAGACAAGGAGGAATAAGATCAAAATTTGGGAGAACACAAAGAGTGGATGCACCCGCGTCATTGCAAACGATTTTGAGCCATGTCATTCAGGGTCTCTAACCATCGGTTGCTATCATCTCGCGGTCCCCAACCAGGTAGTCTACACCTACCAATATGACTCAGACCACTTGTCAGTGACTTCATGGATTTGTGCCATGTTTTGGTCTGGCCGCCCCTAGCTTTCTTCCAATCTACTCCTATACCATTGAACATCGCACATCAAGGCAGTCGGTGGTTGGGCATACGTAACACATGTCCCAGCCATCTCAACTGATGAAGTTTCCCTACGTCATCAATTGATTAGCCATCCTTACCTAGTACCCGTTTCCTAACAACTGTGTTACTTACTCGATGGTCCCATGATATACGAGCAATATTTCGAAGACACCTATGATCAAATACTAGTAACCTACGAATATCCTCTTCTCTTACCGGCCATGTTTCACTTCCATAAAGTAGGACGGAACGAACTGCTGCTCAGTAAACACGTCCTTTGGTTGATAGACGGATATCTCGCCTACGCCATAAATGACGCAAGTTGGTAAAAGCTAGTCGAGCCTTCTGTATCTGTGCTGAGATTTTGTCACACACCAGACCACAAGGGCTGATGAGACTTCCAAGATAAGTGAAGCGATCGACACGCTCAATTACTTCACTCCCTATCATTAGTTCGGGTGTCAATGTAACCCAATCCCGAAGCAGCATTTTGTATTTCCAGGGAGAGAATCGCATCCCGAACATGCTTGCATTGTTGCTTAGAGTGGGCAGAAGACTCTGCATTTTGTCAGCGTCTTCACCAAATAAAACTATGTCATCATCATATTCTAAGTCAACAAGTGAACCTCCCGGTAGAAGTTCAACCCCTGGAAATTTAGATGAGGAGAGTGTTTCCAGGGGTTGAACTTCTACTACTACTAATGTAGTAGTAACACTTGAGGTTCTTTTATTTCTATAAAAAGTCAGTTTCCCATTAAAATCAACCGGTTTACGTAGTGGAAACAAATCCAAATAAATCAATTGAAAAATGTATCATGGTATAGTATCGCAAGCGTTAATGATAGTGGCAAAAGCTGTCAGTCATTGTTGAAAACCAAAGAACAATTGATAACTATAAAAGTCGGGGTATTGTGCGACTAAAATAATGTGAGAATAATTCAGTTTTAAAGAAAGCTTATCATTGTTGGGTCATCTTGACATCAATGTCTTAGACTGAAGCGAAAATTTACATGTTTGTGTGTCACAGATTACAAATGAATTTTACAGATAGGTACAGTTAACCACTAGGGCCCTGATTCTATAGTTTTTTCTTATCGACCACTGTCAGAACATCTATTGATCTACTTTTCATCTTCCTTTCACTATAATTGTGTATTTAACACTTTTTTTCCGCAGTTCTTTCGTCTTGTTGGTATTCTATTTTCTTACAACATTTTCCAATAATGTAATACTTTCACAGAATTCGCGTTATTCTCATCTATTAGTATTGATTAGTTTAGAAGGCGTCACATAATTAATTTTTTTCTCTCGCTTAGCTGATATCTTTCTCATTATTACCCTAGAATCAAGAGAAAGGAAACAAGTACTTATTAAGAGTGTAGTCCGAGTTTTATTCATTCATAAATTCTAAAGAGACTTTTCATCATGAATTAATCTAACTTAAAAAGCTATTGAAAATCAAGGTCCTCTGAAACACCTGTTCAATCATTGTTTAAAACTTCTCGGTGAATCAACTGGAACTTAAGCTGTAGATCACTGAATTCCAACTTAATATTTTTAAAAGTAACCCGTTCTACTCAATACCAAAAGGTTCTGAATTCCATCTATTTTTGGGGCTGTAAGCTTGAATTGTCAAGGATTTTCAAACTAGATATAAAATATCTGCTCAATACTTCATAGCTTTCAGTTATAGTTCCTTAACTGGTTTCAGTTCGTGACAAACTTTCTTCATATATTAGATTAATCTTTACAAACTGCGCATATCTTCTGATAAGTTAGTCCGCTGAAAAGATTTGGCCATCTAACTTTAAACTGTATCAATATTCTAATAAAAGTTCTTTTTTCAGATTTGTTTAAATTTAGTAATTATGTATGGTAACCTACCTGTATATACTCACACTCTATCATAGAAGACTTACGAATTAGTGTGATGTTAAACACGAGAAAGATCGAACGAAAACTATACTTGTTTGCATATTTTTCTCCTTTTTCTATCTTTTGGAAAAACAAAAGAAAACAAATATATTTGAATAAGACATTCATCTTATAGATGTTAGATGGAAAAAATATCAATAATAGTAGTAACCTATTTGATAGAAAAATTTCGTGATTAAAGATAAATGTTAGGTAGTGATTATTAAAAATGTTTTTTCAAATAAATATTTTTGGTTATTTGCCATTTAAATGTATGGTAAATAGAAGTTTGCTAAATTATTGCACAATTAATCCTGTGAATTCCATATTGTATCAAAATTTATGGCATTGAATAAGGTTATTATTATTATTATTATCATTCAGTTGATGCAATTAACTATGCTTATCTTTGTTGCAACTATTATTATTATTATTATTATTATTATTATTATTATTATGATTATTATTATTATTATTATTTCAATGTTAAATTGTGTTAAGAGGATTTTAGTCATTATTAAAACAATTATTACATTTGGTATAAAAGTTTGAAAATGGCAAAGTGAACACTTGTTCTGTTATCTTTAATATTGGATATACATTAATTATGTATAGAGAACAATAAATGTTGATCGTACACCTGAATGTAATATTAAACATCAGATTAATTTTTATAAAGATAAGTTCTGTGTACAATCAGTAATTTGTCTGTATTTTCTAAGAGCATTATTTATTTACTAACTTATTCCAGTTGTTGAATAAATCGGCGAGTCTCATATGGTCGTTTTATATACCAGTCTAAAAATTGATAGGTTTGAATCTTATGTCCTTCATGTTCTGTCCTAGTTGTCACTGTTAAAAATCGGTTCTAAAGATATAGTTATTCTTAATCCTTCTCAAAACTTTATTTCTGGAATTTAATTTCTTAGAACTATATTTTGTATGTTTACTTCAACACTGCCATAAGTATTATTATTTCAGTTCCTTTCTATATGCTGACGTGATATGGTAACTTGTGCCGTTGCACATTTGTGACAGGTATTATTGTTTGAAACTTATTGATTATCTTCAGGTAGTTAAGAAGTTAACTGTGATACGTTAACAGTATTCTTAATAATAGACTCTAATACGTAGAGTTTAGTCGGCCCTGAGTCTACCTCAATATACTTTCACTCGGAAAGCCAGTTAGTATAATTGCTAACTCATAATTTAGTACGTGAATCTGTTCATAGTCTTTAAATTTATATGCTTATCAAATTGTTGTGACGAGCGGTGTCCAAAATCTGATAATGGTACATGGTGTGTTACGTGCTAATCCACCAAACTGACTATTTGAGCGAGAACACAAGAGTGAGAGAGAAAGTGTATTGGGCTACCGAATAAAATGCACAAATACTCATATATACCACTTTAATCCTTAGGAAATTAGTCCATTTTCTAGCTAATGAAATACACTTGTCCTTTAGGTCACTTCTGATCGCCATCGATTGACCTTCGAAGCATTGTCCGTTTATGTTAGGACCACTAAGTAGGCTACGTTAGGGTTAGATGTAGCATATTCAGTGATGACAAATCTGTTGATAAAGCTGTAAGTCTTCATTCGATGATGATGATTGGGACATGCGTTACGTATGCTCAACTAATGCCTAGTTATGACTGAGTGACTTAACTGAATAGTCCTTAAGGTATCCCAAAACTGACTGAATATTTTAACATGAAGTATCAATATTTGGATCTAGTGAGTTTTGAAAATGATTTCATATGAAAGTGTTCAGTAAAAGGAATCTTTCATCTAAGTGATGTAGCTCAGAATAAAGAATGATGGCGATTCTGCTTCAGTTTTCTGTTGTATGATTCATAACCACTAAAATAATTCTCAGTTGTGTTTTTACGCTAAGTGTAGACGTCGACATTTACTACTCCTATTTCCTGTCATTTATTTCCTCACGGTAATGTCATTTCATTCCATTTGGTACGTTTCTTGATACCCTGTTGCATCGGGTGTTTTTTTCCTTTTATGAGTAAATTGTAGCGATTTGATTCAAGGAAATCAATCGATCAGGAGATAATTTATATTCTAATTTTGTTTCATTTTAAGTATTTTTGATACCGATTTCATTTTATACAATGAGCATGAATGTTAGCCAAGGGAATTGGCGGAGAACTAATGTCGGGAAATGTCCAACATTGGATCATTAACATGTAATCGAATTCCCATACAAAATAAATGGACTTCACAGTTTTTTATTACATTTCCGTTCTAACCTCACTCTAACATTTTCTTCCATCTAAATTTCAGTTATTACAACTCACTATTAAAGAAAAAATTCGTGTGTTCGGTGTTTAGAAACATGCACTATGTGATTTACTGATGCTTCACAAAATAACCAACGAAAAACTGGCTTTTGAATGTGAAATAATTTTGTTTTCCTAGTTACTATTGTTGTCATGTTTTTTTATGTTTGAATTTATACATCCAATATGTATTTAATATATACGTCTAATGTTAATCCTTTTTGTTTAATCGAAACTTCATGTTGTCTAGTAAAAGAAATCGATCGATTAGCGTCATTGTTATCTGGTAAAGAACATGATTTACAAGTTTGCCGACAAAGAGCAGATGAAGCTGAACGTATGTTAACTTTAATTAGTCAATGGCATAATGTGATTGCAAGTGCACGTTGTCAAACAATAAATCAAGCCGGAATGACAACAACAGTTGGGACTAATCCAACACATTTGTCAGATGAAACTTCTTCTTCCTCTTCTCTTAGCCTACCTTTTATGCAACCACCTTTTTTCTCTGAACTAGTAAGTATTCTTAATTTCATAAATATTAACATTGAATTGAATCGTATCTACAAATGCATATATATATATATATATATATATATATATATCGTTTTTTTCGATCTTCTACCGGGATATATTTTTTATTTTGTCAAAATAGTGGAACATTTGATAAGAAATTTACATTAATAACTTAAAAATAAATACATAGTTTTTTGTTTAGCTTTTTAATATCTATTTACTTTACTTCTCATGAAAAAACATTCCATTATGAAGAAAGTGACTGTTATGAATTATAGGCAGAGATGGATGATGGCTAGCAATGGAGTTCAGGATGCGCGTTTCGTCCTTTTTCTTGACTCATCAGCTAGATGTACCTCCACCTTACGGTTGATGTCCACTCTATCTCTTCTGATAATTTTTGTGACCTAATAACATTATCAAGGCAATCCACACAGGATTTACATGTACCAAAAAGAGGATTCTCAATTTCAGTCCTAGATATCAATGAGAAGATTCAAACAACCAATGCAAATTACTGTTAGGAATATTTAAACAAATAGTTATAAATGAGAGGAATTGACCACCACTTTTTAATATTCTATTTTTTAACCATTTTAGGATAAGAAAAGATGGCATGATGGCCTTGTTGAAGCAGATCGTTTGGACAGACAATTTGCTTTAGTGTTTGGACGTAAACCTCCCATACAAACATGGTCTTCTAGTCAGAGTAATCTACACTTTGTAAATTCACTTGTATCGGAAAAAAAACTAGCACCTCACATTCCGTGTTCACTGCCATCGATTACTGTCCCATCTGCTTCTCCACCATCTTATTCAACATATCGTCATAACTACTCGAAATCTAGGTAAGTATGAATTTATTCAGTTGCGATTTATATTGACAAGAATTTTATACTTTTCCATTATTCTGGACCCTTATTGAAGTCTATGTACATATCGATGTATGTAATAACTTTTTAATTATTAAGTCTAGAATGTTATTGGAAATCACAATTTATTCTATTATCTGATTACTTTCATAGTTAATTACAGTACATTTATTTGTAAGTTTTTCTCAATTGAAATCTTAATTTCGATCAAGCATTGTCTATAAAGTACCCACCGTTCTTATTGTATACAGTGATTATTTTCATTAGTCTTTCGCTCGCATAAAATTAGTTACTTGTGGTTTTTAGAGGATTACACCTTTTACTTAACTAGGATCCAATTCTAACCGACATCTAGTAGGTTTATATGTTTTAAATGATGATCAATCTGTTTTCAGTGAACACAAGTTCACCGAACATCCTTTAATCAGTAAGGGATGCTTATCGATTGCTTTCTACTAAGAGTCGTAAGTATCTGTTCTTGATCAGTGCAAACTGAAGTTATTTTGTAATGTGGTATCACCTTATTATCAGGCCTACATTGCATTTTTAACCAGCTATCAATTTAACGAACTGAATTATTGACATATCACGAGAGCCAATGGAGTACAATTCATTTTGTTTTCTTACAATCAATTTGTCATTTCTTCAATTCGTTAATACTACTCTATTTCATAGTATAAACTGGATGGTCATGGATCAAGTTCCATCCTATTCTCTTCAGAGAATAAGGAGTGGCTTACACTGAGTTACGAAACGTCATGAAATTTAACTTTGCTACTCATTATTATAAATATATTATTTTTATTATTGAGTTTAAATATATTTTGAGGGTTCTTATTTTAACTGTTTTATTTATCTATTACTTGACCACTCTAATGTGCAATGTTTACTGGAAATACTTTAAATTAGCTTCCATTTTTTATTATCTAGATATTTATATTGAATATTACTCCATGTATGTATTATTCCCTAATATTAACTCTTTTCGATTTGTGTGCTCCATGATCATTTAGCCTACCATTATTCATTATAGATTGCTACATCGATTTAAACCGATTGTCTATTGGGGTTGACATACGACAATTTTCTATTAAAAATGAATAAGCTATTCTAATATAGACACTTCTATAGCGGATTCGATAACAGCAACTGTCACTAACTACTTCAACAATTAGCATCTAACAATAAAAAGATGAAGTATAGGAAAGACTTGATATTGAAGCAGAAAAACGCAAAATAGTCATTCGCTTTGTTGTTCACTTTGACGAAGTTCCACTTTATTTATTTTTTATTGAACCGAAAACGATTAAATAAATAATTACTGATAGAACCAAACCAAGCTGAAAAATTATCAAACATTTAAATCTATTTCCCAGTCAAATGAATTCACTTGGATGAAATTCAATTACCATTTTTATGCGTAAGATATACTTGAGATGAATAATATAACTAAGATTTGTTTATCCAAATGACAAATGATTAATCACCAGGATAAATTAACACTAATAAATAACTAGTAAATCCAAACTTATCATTATTATGTTAAGTTAAATGATAAAAAAACTTAATCTGTTTAAATTTAGCCGAAAAATCAGTTACAGGACAATCGATTGTTTCCTTTTGTTTATTCACTAAACTGAATTGGTAAATTTATATATATATATATATATATATATATATATATATATATATATATATATATATATATATATAGCGTCTAGTTTCGTCTTGTTCAGGACTAATCACCTGAATGTAGCTACATCCCCAAGTTTATGTTCGCATTGTGACTCGAACCCAGTGTATTTCTCACTAACTTCTGACAAGATGAGTATATAGATGTAGTCCGCACAGGATGTACATATACAAATACAGACTGATCGAAATTCAGTCCTGAATTTTAACAATGGCATAAGTAGACCTCTTACTGCGAGAGAGTCGATGTGCATATTTCATAGCATTTAATTTTTGATGATCCCAACCTGTGTTGCAATTCATTTATGATAGTAACTATCTTTATTTTCTAGGGTAACTAGTTTGATCAATTAGTATCCATTTATCGACCAGTTCATTAGTTGTTTTTATTATGAATTTTTACAAGAAAATAATATCATTACTTTGTTTATTGTCACGAAATCAACTCCCTATTTGATGAGAGTTGTTTCACTACATCCCAATTGTACTTACTCTTCTAAAAGAAAATATTTGCTTAACACTAAAAATAAAAAGGAAACCAGCAACATATAGGAAGAAAAGTACAATGAGAGAGAAAAACACCTCGTCTATTTCTTATGTATTCAGTTCCTCTTTTTCTCATGTATATAAATTAATTTTATCGATTTATTTGTACCACAAATTTTATGTAAAGAAAAACGAACCCAAAAGAATCTAACATCATTTGACATTTCATAAAACTGACAGTTTTTATTGCTACTACTATCACTATTACTACCAACAATAATAGCAATATATTTATATGAAAAATTTCCTACAAGCACTTAATGTGCTGTAATGGGATTTTTTAGCCATTTACTTATATCGTTTGTTTATCTTCTATTTCTATTATAAAAACAATATGTCTTAATCAAAGTGAAACCAATTTGAATTCATTTTATTGCATTCACTTCACTGTACTATTTCGATGAACAACAGATCAATCTCGAGATAGAATACATTCGTTTTTGTTAATAATTTTTTTCAAGTCAAATTTACCTCGACTGCATTAAATCTATCGATAAGAATAATTAACAGACAAGTTTATATCACAAACTCTACTTATTTTTGCAGTCACTGAAAACCAAAAAGTAGCCGAAAACCGTTTCATCATAGTATAGGAATTAGCGGTACATATACATGACCTCACCAAAAGTCGCGCAGTATCGAGAAATTGTCGAAACTAAAGATGTAAGTCCATGGGATTTTGACTCAATTACTTAATAGTTAGGCTTTGATCTGGTGATCTGAATGTCCCGGATTCGAACGCTGGTGGATTCATGGATGAGCACCAGTTGGAATGAAACAACTGTTCACTGCTGTTTGATCTTTATTGGTTGCGTAACTAAGGTCAATTGGTGATGTACTTTGTTAACTTGAATAATTACCACACATCTACGTTTAGATGACTGACTGACCTCTTACATTAAAAATTGACAATTATTAAAAACCAAAAACATATTTACATACATCAAGAATGCGTTAAAGGAAGAGGAAACGCTTACAACTCACTTGTGAATTATGTGGGTTTGTTGTAATTTGATAGCTCCATAAAACAGTTCATATAATTAATGGTCAGCTACATATTTTTCGCCAGAGGTGGCGAGTGATACTTTTACTAACTTTGAAGGATTGTTATATATCCACTTGAAAACATCCTGTTGCAGACGACCAGCATACATCATCTCTTCAATTTGAAATAATGCTTTATGTCGATTTATTGTCATTTTAAGACAACTAACTTGTTTTGGCCGAATGTATATTTACATGTTAACGCGAATCTGCTAATGAACATTTCTTCATTACGTCATTGACTTAGTATGAAATTAATGCTACCATTCTGTTGTTATCTATTAATAACTGAAGAAAATAATCTTGAATTTAGGCAGTAACTCGTATATTTTTCGCTTAATAGCCTATAAATGGCTTTACTTTAGAGTTATAAAAGTATATTCATCTGAGGAGGTTGGCGTATGAAACAATCAAAAAATATATTCTGAAAAGTGATTATCCAGCGATATTTGTGCTAAATTCGAATGAGAGTCTTTGTAAATATCTGGTTAATTTTAAAGTTTGGTAAGAGAGCCATCAAAATTTTAAGAGATATATAGTCAAAATATTCATATCGGTAAAGCTCTGTACTCCATATTTTATGTACGCTTGAAGAATGCGAAGATTATGATAAAGAGTCCTATCATCTCGTACTGTCTCTATTAATTTGCGCGTTTTTAAACTGATCACTTTAGATGTAATTCACGAAAAAAGTCAACAGTTCTTCTTATAATGTACGATGAACTTTTATTTCAACAAGATTGATACGAACGACCTAATTAAATCCATTCTTGGAGGAAGTAAACAATTGATTGGTCATAAATGTCAAAGAGCTCCAAATGCTCTGGTACGGCCGATAGTAGAGAGAGTCAGCTCTCCCTCTCGAAATGCTCTCACATGACCACGTGCATACAGAAACTGCCAGGGAAGTCCTACTCACTGTCTTTCACCACAGGGGTGTTGTTTACGAAACTGAGAGAACGAAAAGCGAATGTCCGGCGCTTTAACATGGTTGGCGAATATGGAGGATCCCCCTAGGGGAGTTGGAAAACCCTGATCCCAAACCAATGGTGCACATGGGCTGTAGGATCCTGATGGAACGAATGGCGTACAAACCTGTGGTTGGTGACCGGCTACCATGAGACTGCATCTCCTTACGTCGCTCCACTGCTTTGTGGATTAGACCATTAGGTCAAAGGCTCTGGGTGTGTTCCCGTAAGAAATTCATCTGCTTCAGTTTGGGCACCCGGGTAGTATCACAGCTCACATAAATCGAATGATTCATGTAGCGCATATGTATTTGGTGTCTTGTACTAATGTTTGTTTTTAAATAATAATGCTATAAATGTCAAAGAGATATACTGGCTACTTAATTATTTGTGAGTAGTTCGCCGAATACATAACATTCTAAATGGTTAGTTTTACGGAATATCACCTGTCACCGTATTCCACATAATATCAATTACGATAATTGATTCTCAGGTAGTTACAATTTGGGTGTGAGGTATAGCGGCTTAATTAACTTCATAACTGCCACAATTGTCATAAGCTTTGGAAATCTATTAGGTTATGGAGTCGTGCTCGTTCCGTGAACAACTGTGTTCGTCATATATTGGGTACAGCCATTCATTTCAGAAATAGTAATATATTAGTTGATGTAATTCCTAAAATATCTATCTTGGTATTCATTTTTGAACTCTTCAGTACTCACATCA